ATGTCTAGGTAATACACACATGTCTAGGTAACACACACATGTCTAGGTAACACACACATGTCTAGGTAACACACACATGTCTAGGTAACACACACATGTCTAGGTAACACACACATGTCTAGGTAACACACACTCACTACTGTACAGTTCACTACACTACACTATCTTAACTCTTACTACACTACACTATCTTAACTTAAACTGCACTACACTACACTACACTACACTACTTTACTCTACTCTACACTACACTACACTATCTTATCTTACACTACACTACACTACACTACACTACACTACCCATCATGATTGAGGGAATGGCTGTGAATGGATGGTTTTACCTGGTTACAAAGTCTCCATTAATTACAATAAAGGTGAAGTGTGGCTAGAGGGTTGTTAGCTCTGAGCTGTGTTAACAAGGAGTCCGCTAATTGAAACAACGCTCTTCACCTTGGCTCCGTTCATGGGTTCGTTCTTCTTTGTGTTAAGTTTGCGTCTCTAACCGATTCTCAGCTCTGCCATGTTGCCTCGTTATTATATCGCCAAAGTATAACACGGACGTATATTTTGGATCAATTAGTCAGGGTTGTGGGCTGTTGGAGGGTGGATAAGCGAGGTGGAGGAGAACATCGACCATAAAGGTGTTTCAGCAAAGTAGTGAGAGCTTTTACGAGCGATGGGGGATGGCGACCCTCGGAGTGTAACCGATCACAACTCACGCATGCGCCCTGTGTCGCCCGGCTGGCTGGCTAGCTGGCGGGAAGCGGTCCACATACACGTAACTTTATATCTCTACTCTATGGCTCTTAAAGTACTCTCTTAATACACGTTAGAAAGTTCTATTAAATTGATGATGGATGAATAATGATCACATTCAATCAACAACCCAATGTAAGTTGTAGTAACATTTGTTGTCATGTTGGTCTAGAATATTTTTATCGGCTGAACATTTTAGTCACAATCGTATTTGTAAGAACAAGTTTTGGTCATTCAGGCATCACTCGGAATTGTTTTAGGTTGTATTCCGTAATGTTTATATATTGTTTTAACGTATAAGATTAACCACCATACGTGAAGTAAGTTGACTGTAGCGGGCAAGTGAACACAGCTATCGTCTCCTGGCCTGTGAGTCGTTGGTTCGCACCCAGGGCACCCTCGGCTCACCCACTTTACAGCTTCACATACAGTATATTAACGAGGTCTTGCAGCTACTTGAGGATAAGAGCACATCATCATCATCATCATCATCATCATCATTATACCCCGAAGAAGCACCATCTAGAACATAAACCCTTGCTCATTATACCAATAGATTAAACGAGGGTGATTATACCAATAGATAAAGATATATATTCAAGGTGTATTGGTCACCTGTCACACGAGTTCAGGTAATTGACTAAAACTATGATATATATATTTTTTTACAAGTTTTTATCAATTTTATGGAATATGCCAAAAAATGGGTCACCTGAAGATTAGACACCCCCGTTTATTTCACGTGAAAATTAATCAACCTAACCTAACCCTAACGTAAACCTAACCTAACCCTAACCATCCCAGGTGATTTCGTTTGGGTGTTTATTCCTCAGGTGAAGTAAGCATGTGTGTGTGTGTGTGTGTGTGTGATACAGGAATACAATGTAGCTAATTCCTCTTTGTCTCTCCACAGGTTAACACTTGAGGGTCAGCCTGGAGGTGTGAAAATGGTGAAGTAACAGATCAATTAAAAATAATGGCGTGAGACTAAATTAAAAGGTGACAATAGTGAAAAAGTCTGACATAAAAGGCTGAAATAGTGACAGTAGTGAAATAAAGGGCTGAAATAGTGACAGTAGTGAAATAAAAGGCTGAAATAGTGACAGTAGTGAAATAAAAGGCTGAAGTAGTGACAGCTGTGAAATAAAAGGCTGAAATAGTGACAGTAGTGAAATAAAAGGCTGAAATAGTGACAGTAGTGAAATAAAAGGCTGAAGTAGTGACAGTAGTGAAATAAAAGGCTGAAATAGTGACAGTAGTGAAATAAAAGGCTGAAGTAGTGACAGCTGTGAAATAAAAGGCTGAAATAGTGACAGTAGTGAAATAAAAGGCTGAAATAGTGACAGTAGTGAAATAAAAGGCTGAAATAGTGACAGCAATGAAATAAAAGGCTGAAGTAGTGACAGCAGTGAAACAAAAGGCTGAAATAGTGATAAAGACAAAATAGTTGTAACACCAAGAGGATGATAACAACAACAACAGCGTCAATAATTCCGTATAGGAGTGATCTCAGAGGAATCGTCAGACACCCACAGCCAGAGTTAGGTAAGTACAGTACATCTTAATACTCGTGTTCCCTTCAACCACTGTGGCAGTATGGTGTTATCTTAGAGCCACAACAACAGTAGTATGTGTTTAGTGTACATCATGGATATAGTTGTTGGGATAGTGTTAAATTTTGATACACACACACACACACACACACACACACACACACACACACACACTCTATTACTACTACTGGTACTACCTACTACTTTGCTGTCACTCGGAATCATGTATGACGATCATCCAGCTATGGTACAATGGTATGGGTTATTAAGGATGTCACCAAGGTTGGTGAGTTCTGAGGTGACTAAAGAGGCCGATACGGGACCGGCAGGGTCGATCACAAAAGTTGCACGTGTGGGGGGCTACATCTACTGAAGGAGGGTTGGCGGCAGCGTCTTTCAGGCGTTGGCGCTTGTCTGCCTCGTTATGCAGTCGGGCTAACTCGAAAGTATTGACATCATCTTGTGTGGTGCTCCTCCAAGCGTTACGGTGTGGAGTAATCGTCTCCCAGGTGAGGGGGTCCATGTGGCACTTTTTCAGGTTTGTCTTAAGACAATCCTTGTACCTTTTCAGTTGCCCGCCAGCAATTTGTTTACTAATCGTTAGGTGACTATAAAGTAGCTGTTTTGGCAGTCTACTGTCGTCCATGCAGGTAACATGGCCAGTCCAGCGTAGTTGTTCATGGATAATGGTAGCCTCAATGCTCCTACAGTTGGTGTCGGCAAGAACACTGGCATTTGTTCTCTTGTCTTTCCAGCGAACTCGGAGGCATCAAATACCTTGATGTGCCTCCTGTATGTGACCCATGTCTCGCTGCCATATATATATTTTATTGTTTAACTGAAGTATATTTTCCTGAAATTTCAACCCAGAGACGTGTTTGTTTATCACCTCATGTGTATCTGAACTACGCCGTCTTCTGTGTACTTTTTCCCCAAACCAAAGCTACATGAATTTTTTTTACCGAGGCAAATGATAAAATACTCCACCTCATTGGAGTTCCTTTCACACTTCATTCCTAATCCACTTTTTTCATTCCATTCTTTCATTTTTTCATCATCATCATCATCATCATCATCCATTTACCTCTTTCCATCATCACACTAATATTATTTTAAACTCCACGAATCATTGGACACACTTAATTGCCTCTATCTATCTATATAATCTAACCAAACAAATAAATAATTACCATTGACTAGGCTTGTGTTGTGGATGACTCGATATAGATGAGAGTCAGTCACACCTTTTAAAACCGGTTCATTATTATTATTATTTTTTATTTAATTTTTTTTTTGCAATACAGTATTTTAGTAGTTAAGTTGTTGATGTATTTTTTCGTTAGTATGTGAGATAATTGGTGGAAAATGTCAAACTATGTGAGATAATTGGTGGAAAATGTCAAACTATGTGAGATAATTGGTGGAAAATGTCAAACTATGTGAGATAATTGGTGGAAAATGTCAAACTATGTGAGATAATTGGTGGAAAATGTCAAACTATGTGAGATAATTGGTGGAAAATGTCAAACTATGTGAGGTAATTGGTGGAAAATGTCAAAGTATGTGAGATAATTGGTGGAAAATGTCAAACTATGTAAGATAATTGTTTGTTTATTTATTTATTTAAGTTTAATTGTTCCACTCTCTGGAGAACCATATCTGATTAATCTGTGGGTTAACTCTATCTGAAAGTTATGTATACCTGAGGTTCATGTATACCTGAGATTCATGTATACCTGAGGTTTATGTATACCTGAGGTTCATGTATACCCGAGATTCATGTATACCTGAGGTTCATGTATACCTGAGGTTCATGTATACCTGAGGTTCATGTATACCTGAGGTTCATGTATACCCGAGGTTCATGTATACCTGAGGTTCATGTATACCTGAGGTTTATGTATACCTGAGGTTCATGTATACACGAGGTTCATGTAAATCCGAGGTTCATGTATACCCGAGGTTCATGTATACCTGAGGTTTATGTATACCTGAGGTTCATGTATACCTGAGGTTCATGTATACACGAGGTTCATGTATACCCGAGGTTCATATATACCCGAGGTTCATGTATACACGAGGTTCATGTATACCTGAGATTCATGTATACCTGAGGTTCCCGAGGTTTATGTATACTGAGGTGCTGAGGTTCATGTATACTGAGGTTCATGTATACCTGAGGTTCATGTATACCTGATGTATACCTCAGCTTCATGTATACACGAGGTTCATGTAAATCCGAGGTTCATGTATACCCGAGGTTCATGTATACCTGAGGTTTATGTATACCTGAGGTTCATGTATACCTGAGGTTCATGTATACACGAGGTTCATGTATACCCGAGGTTCATATATACCCGAGGTTCATGTATACACGAGGTTCATGTATACCTGAGATTCATGTATACCTGAGGTTCATGTATACCTGAGGTTCGTGTATACCTGAGGTTCATGTATACCTGAGCTACATGTTTTGGGGGAGAGAATTCCTCCATTATCGTACCTGTCTCTCTCTCTCTTATCTCCACTCTTGTTTACATCCTGTTCTCTTTGTTTACATCCTGTTCTCTTTGTTTACATCCTGCACACACACACACACACACACACACACACACACACACACACACACATATTATGGAAGAGTTAGGAAAGAAAAAACAAGGTAAAAAGTAAATAAATAAAACAAGATTGTATAGATATAAACTCTATTTGTATTACTCAGACATTTGTTAACTAATCTCTATGTGTATAACTAGATTGCACGACAGTCGACACTAAGTGCCCTCATCACTAGATCATATCTATCTATAATAAAAAAAAACTCTTATATAAAATTTTCATCTTGGAAGAACCGTAGAAAATGGTTTATTGTTTATTATTATTATTATATATATACACAGTTCTTATTTACTATACACCGGCCAGAAGATTGTAACCAACGCCTGCTTCTCCACGTCCTGTGTCAGATGGTGTGTAGTGGCAACTCTCTCTGTTATGGTTTTTGAAGTAACTATCATCGGTATTGGAATTCTTATCGTTTGGTTTTAGTTTTTTTTCGGTTGACTCGTATTGTTATTTGTTTTATATGTTATTTTTTTTTTTTTTGGTATGAGTGTTGTTAGAAGTTTTGAAATTTATAAAAGAAAGTTTTTTTTTTTTAGTGTGACGACAGTTTATGATTGATTGGTTGTGGTGAAGTAGCGAGGTTTATCATTATCGTGTATCTGGCAGCACCGGGATCAACAAGAGTTACAGTACAATAATAAGACTCGTCCGCACCACGAGTCTTATATATGACGTCACTGGTACTCGTTATAAACTCAATATATACACATTAATATATGGTACACATGTAAACCCTGCGACGCACATGATCTGTTAGCTGGTGGTACACACAGGCTGTTACCCTTAGTGTGGTGGCGGGCTTCACATACACATTTTTGTACACACACACACACACACACACACACACACACACACAACTTTAACCAGTAAACACTTACACTATGATAGGATCACTTAATGAGGTTACGCAAAGGTTACAGGCACACAGTACAGGTACACAGACACACAGGTACACAGACACACAGACACAAAGACGTACAGTACAGGTACACAGACACAAAGACACACACAGCAGAAGCTACACAGTATTTACACAAAGTTACATCCGGGTTATTAGTCCGGTCAACCATCGTTAAATTCGTTATGACAGTTAGATGAGACGCCGGGGACAGTGTGACGGACAGTAGATGATGGGCCGTGTGTAGAGCTCGGTCTAGACAGGGATCATCTCGTGACAGCCGGAGCTTCTCTACACTTGATAACAGACCTTGTAGACAACTCCGGTGACCAAGGTGAAGTGAGAGAATAAAGGTGTTGACAAACTTAACCTGTGGGACCAGTGTACTCCTGAGCCAACACTCGAGGCATCACGCGTCTTGTGTCCAGACTGTAGTGTAGGAGGTGTGAGGTGGAGGAGCGGCTGCTGGATCACGGGTTAGTGCCACATGGGGCGGGGCGGGGCTCAGAGGGCCGCCGGGTGTAGCGGCCTGAGCGGCACTGTGGTGTCGTCCAGTGTGGGTAGCCAGGCGCTGATCTTGGTAGGGGCGTCTGTGGTCCAAGAGGGCAGCTCCCCAGCCTCAAGTGAAGGCACCCGCTGGTCCCGCCCAACGTTCACCTCCCGCGGGTCTATGGGGTCAAAGGTGAAGACGTTAAGCTTGGTGGGCGTGGCGGCGGAGTAGGGCGGGGTGATGTAGGTGGAGTACTCGGGGTAGTCGGGCACCTCCTGTGTAGGCGACGCCTTCCACGGCGCCTCCAAGTGTTGCTCCAGCTCCGGGGACGCCGCGCCCTTGTGTACTGCCGGTGCCGCCCGCACCGCCACGGGCGTCGCTACTGCCACTCCGCCGCCGCTCTCACACACTCCGTGTGCTGACAGCGGCGTCAGCGGCGACCTACGCGGCGAAGAATTGGGAGAGGAAGACTTTTTACTGGACCTGGGCGTGTGGGTGGTGGCGTGGTTATGGAGGGGCGTGTGGGTGTCCGTGGAGGCGTGGGCGGTGTCGTAGTAACCCCAGGCGGGGTCACGGGAGTAGTCGAGACCGTGTTGGAGACGCACCGAGTAGTGGTGGTGGTAGTGCTGCAGGTGGGCGTAGGCTGAGGGCGTGGCCAGGGAGTACGGGGTGTGGGTACTGGGGGTGTGACTGTGGCCGTGGGCACCATTAAGGCCTGTGGGCGCCATGTAGGAGGTCGCCGGGTCAGTCTGTGGGCACAGGCAGAAGAACACTTGTTATTATCACCTGCAGTAGTTGCTAATGGGGAGTCATATGTTGCAAGAAAGTTTATGATTCACACACCTTACTGGGGACTGTGGTCGTGGCAGTGAGCTAATAAAGTGAATGTTAATGGTGGGGGTCATGTTAAGACTCAGTACGAGATAATGAAGACAAATGCTAACTGTGTGAGGCACTTTGGCGGAGTTCTGGTGTGGGAGACCAGAACCATACACGCTCTTGGAGTTTAGGACTGAACACAACGGGGCACTGGTGAGGGCGTGATGAACCAGGGGGAACCTGACATACATTAAGTCGCTTGAGGAGGCATTATGGGCAGTAAGGCCGGACACCAACAGGTCTCGGTGTTAAGACAGTGCATGAGGGGGGAGGGAGGGAAGCTAATAACGTACCAACTAGAACACTGACAAGAAACAGGTGGGGAGGTGACCTGATGACTGAGCTGAGGTAGGTGACTTGGTGACGTACCTGGTAGGTCATGACCTGGAGGTAGTAAGCGTGGGTAAGATAGTGACGTACCTGGTAGGTCATGACCTGGAGGTAGTAAGCGTGGGTAAGATAGTGACGTACCTGGTAGGTCATGACCTGGGGGTAGTAGGCGTGGGTAAGATAGTGACGTACCTGGTAGGTCATGACCTGGGGGTAGTAGGCGTGGGTAAGATAGTGACGTACCTGGTAGGTCATGACCTGGGGATAGTAGGCGTGGGTAAGATAGTGACGTACCTGGTGGGTCATGACCTGGGGGTAGTAGGCGTGGGTAAGATGGTGACGTACCTGGTAGGTCATGACCTGGGGGTAGTAGGCGTGGGTAAGATAGTGACGTACCTGGTAGGTCATGACCTGGGGGTAATAGGCGTGGGTAAGATAGTGACGTACCTGGTAGGTCATGACCTGGGGGTAGTAGGCGTGGGTAAGATAGTGACGTACCTGGTAGGTCATGACCTGGGGGTAGTAGGCGTGGGTAAGATAGTGACGTACCTGGTAGGTCATGACCTGGGGGTAGTAGGCGTGGGTAAGATAGTGACGTACCTGGTAGGTCATGACCTGGGGGTAGTAGGCGTGCACACGCTGGGCATGGGCATCATAAGCGAGGCCATACTGTAGTTTGGACTGCATGGTGTAGTAGTGGTAGAGCCAGGAGTTGGCCCGTAAGACGGCTGCCTCCTTCTCTCCCAACACCTGGTTAGTGGCCACGATCACTGGCTGCTGCTGCTGTTGTGTGCTGCTGCTGGTGTTGCTACTGCTGCTGCTACTGTTGTTACTGCTGCTGGTAGTGGTGGTGGTGGTGGTGGAGGTGTGCTGCGCCCCCTGCTGGCTAGAGTCGGTGGCGTCCTTCACCTGCAGGACACAGTGGACCCAACGCCACGTGCCTCCTGCAGCCTGTAGCCTCACCAGCAGGATACACGACCTGTCCTGCTCACTCGTCGTGACTGTGGACACAAAACTTACACTCACTTAACTGTCATTAACACACAGTCTATTATTGTAAGATCAAGTAATACAGTACAGTATAGTTAGTCAGGTACAGTCAGTAAGGTACAGTACAGTCAGTAAGGTACAGTACAGTCAGTAAGGTACAGTACAGTCAGTAAGGTACAGTACAGTCAGTAAGGTACAGTACAGTCAGTCAGGTACAGTACAGTCAGTCAGGTACAGTACAGTAAGTTACTCACTGAGGCGGTGTTTGGTCTGCGCTTCCCTCATGTTCTCAGGGTGTAGGAGGTGGTACCACGACACTCCTGCCAGCGACGACCGGCTGTACCCTAGGTAGAACTCACCGCTGGGGGGGAAGAACAAGACGCTGGTGTTAGTACCTGAATCTACCTGTGATGTACACCTGTCATTATCACCTGCAACTGTCATAGAATAGGAGTTCAATAGACTGATGTGAGGCTGACACGTTATTACCTAAAGTTGTCAGTAATGAAAGACCTAAGACCCTTACATAGAAGAGAGAGAGAGAGAGAGAGAGAGAGAGAGAGAGAGAGAGAGAGAGAGATATATATATTTATAGTGTGTTGGGTCTCGTCTCTGGGTTTTGATGTGTATTTCAGTGAGCGTGAAGACCCGGTACAGTATGGTGTGGCCCAGCGGGTGGTACAGATCCCTGCTACGGTTATAGGTGTGGCTGGATCATTTCAAGATTAGCCACATCCTTACCACCACACCCTTCTCTCCCCACCTTTACCTTAGCTTATTTTAACTGATGATTGAATACCCTAACAGTGCCTAGGGGGTTAGGTTAGGTTAGGTTAGGTTAGGTTAGGTTTGGTTAGGTTAGGTTTGGTTAGGTTTGGTTTGGTTTGGTTTGGTTACGTTAGGTTTGGTTACGTTAGGTTAGGTTAGGTTAGGTTAGGTTTGGTTACGTTAGGTTTGGTTTCGTTAGGTTTGGTTACGTTATGTTTGGTTATATCAGGATTATGTTAGTGGTATAAAAAACCTAGGTGAGGGGGGGGGGGTTAATCTTCAGGTGACAATGTATACAGTGAGCACACCTTGAGCTTGGCCAAGATCAGTGGATAAGATCACCCGTTATCGTCTAAGATCACCCGTTATCGTCTAAGATCACCTGTTATCGTCTAAGATCACCTGTTATCGTCTAAGATCACTTGTTATCGTCTAAGATCACCTGTTATCGTCTAAGATCACCTGTTATCGTCTAAGATCACTTGTTATCGTCTAAGATCACCTGTTATCGTCTAAGATCACCTGTTATCGTCTAAGATCACCTGTTATCGTCTAAGATCACCAGTTATCGTCTAAGATCACCTGTTATCGTCTAAGATCACCTGTTATCGTCTAAGATCACTGTTATCGTCTAAGATCACCTGTTATCGTCTAGATCACCGTTATCGTTCAAGATCACCTGTTATCGTCTAAGATCACCTGTTATCGTCTAAGATCACCTGTTATCGTCTAAGATCACCTGTTATCGTCTAAGATCACCTGTTATCGTCTAAGATCACCTGTTATCGTCTAAGATCACCTGTTATCGTCCTAAGATCACCTGTTATCGTCTAAGATCACCTGTTATCGTCTAAGATCACCTGTTATCGTCTAAGATCACCTGTTATCGTCTAAGATCACCTGTTATCGTCTAAGATCACCTGTTATCGTCTAAGATCACCTGTTATCGTCTAAGATCACCTGTCTAAGATCACCTGTTATCGTTAAGATCACCTGTTATCGTCTAAGATCACCTGTTATCGTCTAAGATCACCTGTTATCGTCTAAGATCACCTGTTATCGTCTAAGATCACCTGTTATCGTCTAAGATCACCTGTTATCGTCTAAGATCACCTCGTCTAAGATCACCTGTTATCTAAGATCACCTGTTATCGTCTAAGATCGTTATCTAAGATCACCTGTTATCGTCTAAGATCACCTGTTATCGTCTAAGATCACCCGTTATCGTCTAAGATCACCTGTTATCGTCTAAGATCACCTGTTATCGTCTAAGATCACCTGTTATCGTCTAAGATCACCTGTTATCGTCTAAGATCACCTGTTATCGTCTAAGATCACCTGTTATCGTCTAAGATCACCTGTTATCGTCTAAGATCACCTGTTATCGTCTAAGATCACCTGTTATCGTCTAAGATCACCCGTTATCGTCTAAGATCACCTGTTATCGTCTAAGATCAACGTTATCGTCTAAGATCACCTGTTATCGTCTAAGATCACCTGTTATCGTCTAAGATCACCTGTTATCGTCTAAGATCACCTGTTATCGTCTAAGATCACCTGTTATCGTCTTATCTTAAGGTGATCCATCAGGCCCTCTCTCACCACCAGACTCGTACATCATTCCTACACTCTTATTAATTCATGTGCGTGCGAGTGTGTGTGTGTGTGTGTGTGTGTGTGTGTGTGTGTGTGTGTGTGTGTGTGTGTGTGTGTGTGTGTGTGTGTGGATCAGTGCCGGATGGTTGGGTCGGTGATAAGAGTTAGACACGACAAAGAATTCTTCCTGTTTTATTGTCTGTCTGTGGAGTCTTCCTGTCATAACAACCCAACCTAAACCTAACTAAACTAACCTAAACCTAACCTAAACCTAAACCTAAAACTAACCTAAACCTAACCTAAACCTAACCTAAACCTAACCTAAACCTAACCTAAACCTAACCTAAACCTAAACCTAAACTAACCTAAACCTAACCTAAACCCCAACCCAAACTCAACCTAAACCTAACCTAAACCTAACCTAAACCTAAACCTAACCTAAACCTAAACCCTAACCCAAACCTAAACCTAAACTAACCTAAACCTAACCTAAACCTAACCTAAACCTAACCTAAACCTAAACCCAACCTACCTAAACCCTAACCTAAACCCAAACCTAACCTAAAACCCTAAACCTAAACCCACCTAACCCTAACCTAAACCTAAACCCCAAACCTAACCCAAACCTAAACCTAAACCTAACCTAAACTAACCTAAACCTAAACCTAAACCTAAACCTAAACTAAACCTAACCTAACCTAATCTGAAGTAAATTGCATTAGGGTGTTTTTAATAACCATCAGACGAGAAAAAACAAAACATATAAGCTAGGGGTCTAATTTTCAGGTGGTGCAGACTCCTCAACATAAGAATTCCTTTCCTACACTATAACTATGGTCCAATAGCGCGGGGGTAGTGACACGATCAGCCATTGAGAGAAGGGGAGGAAAGGGGAAGAGGAAGAGGAAGAGGAGGAAGAGGAGGAGGAGGAGGAAGGAGGAGGAAGACAAGGCGTTCATCTCCCTCCTCCTCCCTTGTTCAACCTCGCCTAAAATACTGTACATTACTAGACATTGTTACATTTTGGAAAGTGCCGGTGAAAGTTGGCGTGACAGCTGGTGGTGGTGGTCGCTCTCCCCTCTCTCACCCCCTCTCTCACCCCTCTCTCACCCCTCTCCCCCTCTCTACCCCCTCTCTCATCCCTCTCTCACCCTCTCTCACCCCTCTCTCACCCCTCTCTCACCCCTCTCTCACCCTCTCTCACCCCTCTCTCACCCTCTCTCCACCCCTCTCTCACCTCTCACCCCTCTCTCACCTCTCACCCCTCTCTCACCTCTCACTTTTAACTGCTCACTCTCCCTGATGGCTTGAGACACGCCATCTCAGGCCTTATCACCGGCCAACATAAGACATAATGTGGTCTGTGTGACGAGGGAAGACATGCATTATATTCACCCTTACGCCACACTCCGCTAAGGGTGATAATGCCGTGTTGTCAGGCCCCTCCCCCAACCATATTGCCCCCTTCAGTATTATTAGCTCTTATGTCAGGTGTGTTTAAGGGTTGTTTTTCGTCTCGCTCCTTGACTGTGATTCATAAGACGTGGTGAAGGAATCAGACCCTTGTAGTATGTGTGTTTAAGGTCGATTTTCTTCTTTTGTCTACTGTTTCTCTTTGGTTGTGGAGGGACGTAAGAGTGTGTGTGTGTAGACGACTTTAAGCCTTGTGTTGTATGTGTTTAACGTCTGTTTTTCACTGTCTTAGAGGCTTTAAGAAGATGTCTCTAATGTGTGAGATGGTAAAGTGGTCCTTGTGTTCCATGTGTTTAAGGCCGAGTTTAAGTCATTCTTCCTGCCCGTCGAGTGTGTCTAAGTGCGTGAGGGTAAAGTGGACCTTGTTTACCCTCGCCCCACCGCACATAATTGCTCGCCCTCGCCCTCGATGATTAGTGGCCATTATGCATAATTTTTAGTATTGAAGGATAACCGTAGACAATGGCTGAAGGGCGGCCCCGGTTATTGGTGCTCTGGGAGGTGTCTTATTTATCCAGCGTCTTATTGTCTTAATCCCTGGGGTGTGGGGGGGTGGGGGTGTGGGTACTTGTTATGCCCCACCACCCCACCCTCCCCCCACCCCCTCCCCCCACCCCCACCCCCCTTCAGTCATATCAATGTTAACATGACTTCGTGATTCACCTGACACACAGACGTACACAAACACAGACAGACAGACAGACAGACACAGACAGACGTACACAGACAGACAGACAGACAGACACAGACAGCCACCACACTACCAACACACACCGTGAGAACTCGGCCAGGGAAGAGTAGAGAGAGAGAGAGAGAGAGAGAGAGAGAGAGAGAGAGAGAGAGAGAGAGAGACAATGAACCATCTTCAACTCCCTCTTCTGGTATCTGTTCACTGATTTTACCTCCCACCCCTCTCCCCCTCCCCCACCCCCCTCCCCCTCCCCACCCCCCCTCTCTCCCTCCCTCCCCACCCCCCTCTCCTCTTCCCCACTCCCTCTCTCCCTCCCCACCCCCTCCCTCCCCACCCCCCTCCCTCCTCCCCCACTCCCTCCTCTTCCCACTCCCTCTCCTCCTCCCCACCCCCTCCCTCTCCTCCCCCCTCCTCCCACCCCTCCTCCCCCCCCCCCACCTCCTCCCCACCCCTCCTCCTCCCCACCCCCCCTCCCTCCTCCCCACCCTCTCCCTCTTCCCCACTCTCTCCTCCCCACCCCCCCTCCTCCCACCCCCCCTCCTCCTCCCCACTCCCTCTCTCCTTCCCCACTCCTCTCTCTCCTCCTCCCACCCTCCTCTCCTCCTCCCTCCCTCCCCACCCTCCTCCCACCCTCCCCCTCCCTCCCCCCTCTCCTCCCTCCTCCCCACCCCCTCCCCACCTTCCTCCTCCTCCCACCCTCCCCAGCCGACATTAGCATAGTTATTGTTTCTTAGTTAGGGTGGCCCTTAACTCCCAGATGAATTATGATGGAGCAAATGATGCTGCTGCCCCCCGATACCGTCTGGGAAAAGATGTTATCAGCCCACGCATTTACATACAGTATCCCTGGGCCGTGATTCTCTCTCTTCCTTCCTTCCTCGTGTGAGAACCCACTCTCTCTCTCTCTCTCTCTAGCCCGGTGGTGAGAGGAGGTATATCGTGGTGAGTGGTGTGGTGGGAGTAGTAGTGGTGTGATGGTAGTGGTGGTAGTGGAGGATAGTGGGGGATTGAGAGAGAGGGATGAAGGGGTCAGGGGTGATGGGGAGGGGTAGAGGATGGAGAGGGGCGTGGAGGGGAGGCCCTTGCTGCAGCCTGATATTAACATTTGTGTATGAATGGAGGGAAGGAGTGTGGCAGAGTGGTGAATTTGGAAGTAATTTGCCAGGGCTATTGGGGAGGAGGGAGAAGAAGGAGAGAAGGAGGGAGAAGAGAGAGGGGGGCACAGAACCTAATCTACTGCTTGTTACACACTTTAACGACCTGTTGGGGAGGTAGTTCAAGCCGGTGTGGGAGGAGGTGAGGGACGGGGAGATTCTTTGACTGACCTGTAACTTGTAAACAGAACTCACCCACACACACCCACACACACACACACACACACACACACACACACACACACACGCACACACACACACACACACAGTAATAAATAAGCATTAGTGGTATTTAAGCGTAAAGACAACTCAATTAAGCTTAATATATTGCATAATTTATGACAACTGTATGATTTTAAGGAGGTATGAAGAATAATTTTATGATTTTGGCGAGATATGAAGAATAATTTTAGGATATTTCACCAGTTATTATTTTTTGTTGATAATTGCAATATTTCACGAGATTTTGGAATTTTTGCGGTGGAAACGAATAGGTTAGGTTAGGTTAGGTTAGGTTAGGTTAGGTTAGATTAGGAGAAGTTAGGTTAAATTAGGTTAATCTTGTCATAAATTGCTAAACGTGATTAGGTTAAGTTAGTATTGAATTAGATTAAGCTAGGTCTAGGATATCGGTGTTTAAACTCCCGTACACAGAGTCTGGTCTCGTGGTCTCGGGGATAATAGTAACACACAAACACATATAGTGAACCTGGAGCCTAAATTTGCATGAAGCACTATGTTGGCGTCAAGTTATGGGTCCTGCTGAGAGGCTGGCTGGGTGGGTGGCTGGCTGTGGGTGGGTGACTGGCGGGTGACTGGCTGGGGGTGGGGTGGTGGGGGTGGGTGGGGGTAGGGTGAATGAGTGGCTGGGGTGGTGTGTGGGTGGGGTGGGTGGGGTGGTGGGTGGGTGGGTGGGTGGGTAAGGATTGTGTGGGTGGGTGGGGTGGGTGATGAGTGGCTGTGGGTGGGTGGGTGCATGTGGTGGGGTGGGTGGGTGTCTGGGGTGGGTGGTGATTCTCTGCTCTCTCTAATACACTAGCACTCATCTGTTTCTCTACAAATACCAGCTGATGTGGGAGTGACATTCGCGTGTGTTTGTTTACAAGTACCAGTTATTGTAGGCGCGTGATCGTGTTTATGATGAATACAGGGCCACATTAATACAAGGCACCCGTGTTTGTTTACACGTATCAGCTGATGTCCATGTACCGGCGGCCAGGGGCATCGTCAGGTCACCGGACGATCGAGCTACAAGAGGTTGATAACAGTGAACAGAGCGAGAGAACCAAGGAAACAACGACTCGCTATTATGATGGTAATGTTGTCTGGCAGGGAGGAGGGAGGGGGAAGGACCGACTCAATATGGCTAGAGTCGATGATGGGAGGGAGGGGAGGGAGGAGGACCCACTCATATATGGCTAGAGTCGATGATGGGGAGGAGGGGGAAGGACCGAATATATGGCTATAGTCGATGATGGGGGAGGGGGGAGGGCAGATAGATGGGGACAGAAAAAAAAAAGAGGAGAGAAAAGACCACACACACACACACACACATACACACACACGAGAGAGAGAGAGAGAGAAGGAGAAATGAGACTTTGTGAAAATAGAATTAAACAAATGTGAAACCCAAGGCAGATGACCAGACCTTTTGTTTACTATAAGTTGTAGTGGAGGACTGTTAGTGTGTTATACCTGTACCTGCCCCTCTCCTTCCCCACCTGTTACCTCCCCCACCTGTTACTCCTCCTCCCCCACCTGTTACTCCTCCCCCCCACCTGTTACTCCTCCCTCTCCCACCTGTTACTCCTCCTCCCACCTGTTACCTCCTCCCTACCTGTTACTCCTCCCCACCTGTTACCTCCTCCCCTACCTGTTACTCCTCCTCCCCTACCTGTTACTCCTCCCCCACCTGTTACCTCCTCCTCCCCACCTACCCCTCCTCCCCCACCTGTTACTCTCCCCCCACCTGTTACTCCTCCTCCCACCTGTTACTCCTCTTCCCCACCTGTTACTCCTCCTCCCCCACCTGCTACTCCTCCTTCCCACCTGTTACCTCCTCTTCCCCCACCTGTTACTCCTCCTCCCACCTGTTACTCCTCCTCCCCACCTGTTACTCCTCCTCCCACCTGTTACTCCTCCTCCCACCTGTTACTCCTCCTTCCCCACCTGTTACCTCCTCCCACCTGTTACTCCTCTCCCCACCTGTTACCCTCTTCCCCACCCTGACTCCTCCTCCCCCACCTGTTTCCTCCCCCCCACCTGTTACTCCTCCTCCCCCACCTGTTACTCCTCTCCCCACCTGTTACTCCTCCTTCCCCACCTGTTGCCCTCCTCCCCACCTGTTGCTCCTCCTCCCCCACCTGTTACTCCTCCTTCCCCACCTGTTACCCTCTCCCCACCTGTTACTCCCTCCCCACCTGTTACTCCTCCTTCCCCACCTGTTACTCCTCTCTCCCCACCTGTTACTCCTCTTCCCCACCTGTTACTCCTTCCCCCACCTGTTACCCTCCTCCCCCACCTGTTACCTCCCCACCTGTTATCGCCTCCTCCTCACCTGTTGTTACTGTCCTCCCTTCCTTTCCCCTGCCTCCCCACACTCTTTCCCATCCTCCCTACCCCAACACACCCCACTCCACCACTCCACCCACCCACCCAGCCACCCACCCCCTGCAGACCAAGGTGAAAGGTCCTGAGTCATTTACAGGACAAAGCCCACATTTGCATAAAAGCTCCATATCCACATTGAGGCGGAAAACCCGATGTAGGTTCTTCGTTACTATAAATCACAGCGTTGTGCTTCCTGTGGAGTGAGGGGGAGCAGAACGTGGCGGCCCCAGCTGCTGAAGACGGCACCTACGGCCTTATGGAGGGTGTGAGGGGGTGGGTAGTTCTCTCAGGGTGGGGGCAGAGGGTGTAAGGCATGCAGTAGTCAACACGTGAAGGTATTGTGAAGTGTTGGCTGCTGAAGGTGTGTGAGCTGCTCAAGGGCGGGGCGTGACAGAGTCCTGGGTGATGGTGACACAGCCCTGGGTGATGGTGACACAAACATACAGAGAATAGTGAAGGCGGTGGTCATGGCTGGAAGAACCCTGGATGATTATGAACATGAGACAGTGAACATGATAGACAGTGACGGTGAAGATGATGACAGTGAGGAACAAAGAGGTACTCACTTTCTGTCGAGGTTGATGAACTTCATGTCGAGGGTGTGGACGGAGGTGAAGACGTTGGTGGCGCCCTGCACGACGCTCTCTCGGGTCTCTGGCATGGCGACGGGCGTACAGTGGGCGAGGAAATGGCTCGTTCCTGGAGCACAGCGGCAGGTACGACAGGTAATCCTACCAGCACCACCTGGCAGATGGTACACTTGTTAGTATTAAACCACCTGGCAGATGGTACACTTGTTAGTATTACACCACCTGGCTGATGGTACACTTGTTAGTATTACACCACCTGGCAGATGGTACACTTGTTAGTATACACCACCTGGCAGATGGTTTAATTTGTTATATACAACAATAAACAAACGTTTGTCTGGTCACCAAGGTTGACGTAACATAAACAAACGTTTGTCTGGTCACCAAGGTTGACGTAACAAACAAACGTTTGTCTGGTCACCAAGGTTGACGTAACAAACAAACGTTTGTCTGGTCACCAAGGTTGACGTAACATAAACAAACGTTTGTCTGGTCACCAAGGTTGGCGTAACATAAACAAACGTTTGTCTGGTCACCAAGGTTGACGTAACATAAACAAACGTTTGTCTGGTCACCAAGGTTGACGTAACACAAACAAACGTTTGTCTGGTCACCAAGGTTGACGTAACATTAACAAACGTTTGTCTGGTCACCAAGGTTGACGTAACACAAACAAACGTTTGTCTGGTCACCAAGGTTGACGTAACATAAACAAACGTTCTCACCTTCTGGTCGCCGAACCTCATCTGTCTTCGGGCGTTCCTGGACACGTTCATGCGACAGAGGAAGAGTCGGTCATCGTCATGGTGGTGTTGGGACGTGTGACCTGTCCTGACGAGCTCCGCCTGTACCGCCGCGTGGTCCTGCTTGTCTATAATGTCGTACACACTGTCCCCGTGTATGAGGAGGTCCTCCTGTGGTGTGTTAATACTGTGTGTTAATACTGTGTGTTAATACTGTGTGTTAACACGAACACTGGTACACACTGTCCCCGTGTATGAGGAGGTCCTCCTGTGGTGTGTTAATACTGTGTGTTAATACTGTGTGTTAATACTGTTACACTGTGTTAACAATGTCACACCTTGTGTTAACACTGACAATGTTACCTAGGCCTCGCATCAGTGTTGTAACAACCTACACTACACACTGGTCAATATTAACACTCACACAGTATACACCACCCCTTGTACAACACCTTGTATTAACACTTAACATACACTACACCTTGTGTGTTGATACACTATACAGTTGAATCATTATAACATACAGTACACCTACAGAGGCCTGTTAGTATAGGTGGGCGGGGCGACAACATGGCATTAACCTACACTGATAAGAACACAAGAATGGAGGAAACTGCAGCGGACAGTCCCGTTTACACCCAACCCCTATCGCTCATATATCCACCCAACCTGTGTTTGAAGCTATCCAGCGTGTTAGAGTTAATGATGATGTTTGGTAACTTGTTCCACTCGTCCACTACTCTATTTCCAAACCAATGTTTAAATCTAAATTTGTCTAATTTAAAACCATTGTTACGAGTTCGCTCCTGGTTGGATAGTTTGAGTACCTTTGTAATGTCCCCTTTGTTTAGCCCTGACTTCCATTTATACACCTCTATCATATCGCCCCTCACTCTACGTCTCTCGAGGGAGTGCAAATTAAGATGCTTTAACCTGTCTCTGTACTCAAGGTTCCTAATGCCCGGGATTAGTCTTGTCATTCTCATCTGAATTCTTTCCAAGGATTCTATATCCATTCTGTAATACGGTGACCAGAACTGAACTGCGTAATCCAAGTGAGGTCTCACAAGCGCAAAATATATTTTTAGGATGACCTCGCTAGTCTTGTAACTAACACTCTTTTGAATGAACCCAAGTACTTTATTAGCCTTGTTACGAGCAAATACACACTGTTTACTTGGCTTAAGATTCCTACTTATCATTACTCCTAAATCTTTCTCACATTCGGATTTCTCAATAACATCGTTGTTCATCTGGTATCTGGTTTCCCTGTTTTCATCTCCTATACTGAGTACTTTACATTTGTCCACATTGAATTTCATCTGCCATTTTTCAGACCACTCGAAAAATTTGTTTAGATCTTCCTGTAGTTTTGCGGAGTCCTCGTCAGATTTAATTACACGTCCTATTTTAGTGTCATCAGCAAATTTACTTATGTTGCTGTCTATGCCGATATCTATGTCGTTTATGTATATAATAAATAATAATGGTCCGAGTACTGAGCCTTGGGGAACTCCACTAGTGACGTTGCTCCAATGGGACTTAGTGCCGTTAATGCTCACTCGCTGTTTCCTGTCCTGTCACCATGCCCTAATCCATTTTAGAATATCTCCTTTAATACCATGAGCCTCCACTTTTCTTATTAGTCTTTCGTGGGGGACTCTGTCGAAGGCTTTGCTAAAGTCGAGGTATATCACATCAAAATTGTGCCCCTCGTCCACCGATTCGAAAACAGATGAAAAGAATGTTAATAGATTAGTTAGACATGAACGCCCCCTTGTGAAGCCATGTTGGGAATCATTGATCAACTTGTGCTTCTCCAGGTGATTTCGAATAGAGTTTGAAATGATTGCTTCCAGTAATTTGCCTATAATTGATGTTAGACTGGTTGGACGGTAGTTAGAGGATAGTGATCTATCTCCCTTCTTGAAAATCGGTATTACATTCGCTATCCTCCAGGATTCTGGTACTACACCTGTTTTTGGACATGTTAAACAACTTTGCTAGGGCATACTAAGCTCTTCCTTACATTCCTTTAATACTCTGGCAAATATCTCATCGGGACCAGGTGACTTATTAGGCTTTAGTTTGTCTATTTCTTACTAACATCGTTACTAGTCACTACTATCTCACTTAATTTGTTTTCTTCACTATCTCTGTATAGAGTCGGTGCCTCGGGTATCATGTTTTATTGCTTATTTATTCCTTTTGTGAACAGGTTGAAGAATAAGAATGAGCAGAGACAATAATAATAATACTAATCGGAACTTTTATCTCTCTCTCTCTCTCTCTCTCTCTCTCTCTCTCTCTCTCTCTCTCTCTCACCATAGAGTGGCCCAGGTACTCGGCAGCGTTGTCTGAGATGTACAGCAGCTTCCCTCCCTGGGTCAGCATCATGATGAAGCCGTTCATAGCCTGAGGAAGATAACATACATGGTTAGGTTAGGTTAGGTTAGGCAAGGTTAGGTTAGGTTAGGTTAGGTTAGGTTAGGCAAGGTTAGGTTAGGTTAGGTTAGGTTAGGCAAGGTTAGGTTAGGTTAGGTTAGGTTAGGTTAGGTTGGGCAAGGTTAGGTTAGGTTGTGTAGTGGGGAGACAACATATAAAGATCAGAGAGAGAAGAAGGGCCAGTGGTAGGTGAAAGTGGTGGTAGCATCATCAGTAGGTAAGACGGAATCACAAAGCCAGCCTCTCTCTCTCTCTCTCTCTCTCTCTCTCTCTCTCTCTCTCTCTCTCTCTCTCTCTCTCTCTCTCTCTCTCTCTCTCTCCTTGATCTTTCCACCTTTAACTGGCGGCCATAAACAACAACAGCAACAACAACAATAAACAACAACAGCAACAACAACAAAAACAACAACAACAACAATAAACAACAACAACAACAACAACAATAAACAACAACAACAACAAAAACAACAACAAGCCGTAAACAGAACTACTTTCAATTTACAGGTAGAGTCTTGGTGCCTTTGCGACGCCATTATTAAACCCCCTTAAGAGTAGAGGAGTCTTTAGTGGGTGACTTACATGCAGGTGTGTGTGTGTGTGTGTGTGTGTGTGTGTGTGTGTGTGTGTGTGGAGAGAGAGCAGTATTTGGTAGATGTGAATAACATATAGTAAGCAGTACAAACACACAAACACACAAACACACACACGCTTACAAACACACAAACACACAAACACACAAACACACAAACACACACACGCTTACAAACACACTTATTGATGTTTTAGAAGCACATACACACATCTCTCTCACATGGGGAATTCCACAAGCACACACACACACACACACACACACACACACACACACACACACACACACATCAGTTTTAAATAACTAGTGGTGATGGTAATAGCCGTGTGGTGGGAAGGACATCTTGGGAACTGGTGATCTTTACAAGGGTCAGCCGTGTGTGTGTGTGGCCATCCTACAGGGAAGGAGGACCAGTTTTATTGCGGTAGCTTCATCCTGCTCATCCGTGTGTGTGTGTGTGTGTGTGTGTGTGTGTGTGTGTGTGTGATAGAATCGGTAGAGAAAGTACAGCAGCGGCTCTTAGTGCTTTGTACTTGACCTCCTCCCCGAGAGTGTTGGGGGCTGGCACCGAGCAGGAGTGTTCCCAGGGGCTGGCACCTAGCAGGAGTGTTCCCAGGGTCTGGCACCCTAGCAGGGTGTTCCCAGGGGCTGGCACCCTGCAGGAGTGTTCCCAGAGGCTGGCACCTAGCAGGAGTGTTCCCAGGGCTGGCACCATGTAGGAGTGTTCCCAGAGGCTGGCACCTAGCAGGGAGTGTTCCCAGGGTCTGGCACCTAGCAGGAGTGTTCCCAGGGCTGGCACCCAGTAGTAAAGCTCTAGGGTCTGGCACCTAGCAGGAGTGTTCCTAGAGGCTGGCACTTAGCAGTAAAGCTCCTAGGGTCTAGAACCTAGCAGGAGTGTTCCTAGGGGCTGGCTTCTATCGGGATAACTAACATAGGGTTTCACCTGCCAGGAGAATATCCCATCCCTGGCAGCAGGAGGAAGGTGCCCAGGTGAGGATGGTTGGCTCTCCGTGACCTCTGACCCCGGCTGTGACCTGCCACTCGCCCAGAATACTAATGTCAACAAGGAAAGGTCGATCAGCGGGATGGTGGTGGCGGTAGTTGCCTTGGCTGTGTGGCGGAGGGGGAAGGGAGGGAGGAGGAGGAGGAGAAGAAGAAGAAGAAAGAAGAAAGGAGGAGGAGGAGGAGGAGGGAGGAGAAGGAGGAAGGAGTCAGCATAAGAGAGAATCATCAAGTACAATACATAAACAGTGAATGAAACCTTAGGTCATAATTCAGGGTTACATAAACACCACACAGTACACAAACTCTAGTACATGACCCTGATCTATACCTCCCTCTCTAGTAAGACACTCTTGACACAACCCTGATCTATACCTCCCTCTCTAGTACACACAACCCTGATCTATACCTCCCTCTCTAGTAAGACACTCTAGTACACAACCCTGATCTATACCTCCTTTCTAGTACACAACCCTGATCTATACCTCCCTCTCCCAACATGGCCGCGACAGGGAAGAGGCAGGACGCAGGACAAATTTATGCAAAAAAAAAAAAAATAAATAAATTGCTCGTACCGGAATTCCTGTGAGAGGGGGGGAGGGGGTAGGGAGGAGGGACTAGGTGAGGGAGGGAGGGTAGGGGAAAGGGTTAAGTAAAGGTATTCATTCACTCATTAAACCGTGGAACTGCTAGGAGTATGGGCCTCCTCCCTCCCTCCCTGTCTCCTCCCCTCCCTCTCTCCTCCCCTCCTCCTCCTCCCCTCCTCCCTGTCTCCTCCCCCTCCCCTCCCTGTCTCCTCCCCTCCCTCCCTCCCTCCTTCTCTTCCTCCCCTCTCCTTCCCTCCCTCCCTGTCTCCTCCCCCCTCCCTCCCTGTCTCTCCCCTCCCTCCCCTGCCTCCTCCCCTCCTCCTCCCTCCCTCCCTCCCTGTCTCCTCCCCCCTCCCTCCCTCCCTGTCTCCTCCCCTCCCTCCTTCCTCCTCCCTCTGTCTCCTCCCCCTCCTCCCTCCCCTGTCTCCTCCCCTCCCTCCCTGTCTCCTCCTCCCTCCTCCTCCCTCCCTCCCTCCCCTCCCTCCCCTCCCCTCTCTCTCCTCCTCCTCCCTGTCTCCTCCCCTCCTCCCTCCCTCCCCTCCCTCCCCCTCCCTCCCTCCCTCCCCTGTCTCCTCCTCCCCTCCCCTGTCTCCTCCTCCCTCCTCCCTCCCTCCCCTCCCTCCTCCTCCTCCCCTCCCCTCCCTCCCTCCCTGTCCTCCTCCCTCCCTGTCTCCTCCTCCCTCCCCTCCCTCCCCCTGTCTCCTCCTCCCCTCCCTCCCTCCCTCCATGTCTCCTCCCCCCTCCCTCCCTCCCTCCCTCCTCCCTCCCCTCCCTCCCCTCCTGTCTCCCTCCCTCCCTCCTCCCTCCCTCCCTCCTTCTCTTCCCTCCTTCTCCCTTTCCTTCCCCTATTTAATCACCAAAGGATTATTAAAACCCTAACACTAACCTAACCTAACCCCTAACTAACCTAACTTCTTCCTTTACCTAACCCCTCCCCTAGGTAGCGTTAGGGTATAAATTCATCAATCAGGGATGGGCTAGAGGGATGTGGTGTGGTGTAGAGGGGGTGTGGTGGGGTGTGGTGGGGGTGTGGTAGTGGGTGTGGTAGGGGGTGTGTGTGGTGTGGTGAGGGTGTGTGTGGGGGGTGTGGTAGTGGGGGGTGGTAGATGGTGTGGTAGAGGGGGGTGTGTGTGGGTGTGTGGGGCTAATCTTCAGGTGACCAGCAACATCAACACACACAACATAATACATGAGTCCCCCGTTTCATACAGTCCCCTCTTCCCATTTTCTTCCGTCATTCTAACAATAACAACACCCCATCTCGAGTCTCAGTGGAGTTATGGCGCCATTTGTTTACCTCTTAAAGCAGTGTTGGTATGTGTGGGGGGGTTGGGCCGTCCACACCCTGAGTTATTGTTGATGGAGTTGCCTTATTAATCTGTGTTTTTCTGGTTGGTTGAATAAACTGTTTCAATATCAGTAGAAATGGGTGATAATTCAAGGTAGGAGGGTGATAATTCAAGGTAGGAGGGTGATAATTCAAGGTAGGAGGTGATAATTCAAGGTAGGAGGTGATAATTCAAGGTAGGAGGTGATAATTCAAGGTAGGAGGGTGATAATTCAAGGTAGAAGGTGATAATTCAAGGTGGGGTGATAATTCAAGGTAGGAGGTGATAATTCAAGGTAGGTGGGTGATAATTCAAGGTAGGAGGTGATAATTCAAGGTAGGAGGTGATAATTCAAGGTAAGGAGGTGATAATTCAAGGTAGGTAGGAGGTGATAATAAACTAAGGAGGATACTCACCTTGGAGAAACCGATGTTGGGGTGAGGCTGAGGTCTGTTCTGCTGCTTGAACACTGTAGACAAAAAACAACATTACTACAACAACAACAACAACAACTAAACACACACACACACACACACACACACACACACACACACACACACACACACACACACCGCGTATTATATATGTCAGTACACCTCCCTACCCCCCTCCCTCCACCCCCTCCCCCTCTACCCCCCTCCTCCAGGTTTGATCAGCGTCTCAATAACTGTCATTATAACATAGCAAAACATGACCTCAGCGGGGGTAATACAGTGCTAAACTCGTCTGACATGATGGCCGGTAATTCTACACAGGTAATTGGGGGATTGTCGCCCTATCTGTCCCCAGGTGATATACTCTGTGTGTGTGTGTGTGTGTGTGTGTGTGTGTGTGTGTGTGTGACCGTGATGATATAAGGAGGTGGTAGGGAGAGTCTTAAGCCAATGTATAATTATGGTTGTTATGATGTGTGTTATAGGGGTACTGGTCATACCATACATACTGACAGACACAGACGAACCAGACACAGACGAACAGACAGACACAGACAGACACAGACACTGAACAGACACAGACAGACACAGACCTGACAGACACTGACAGACACAGACAGACACAGACAGACACGAGACACAGACACTGACAGACACTGACAGACACAGACAGACACAGACACAGCCTTGCAAATAGTTGCTCTTCCTGACGTAGACACAGACAAAGAGCCGCATGAAGCTGAGAGACGTTGACGGGTGGAGGAGGGCAGGAGGTCCCTCAGCTGACAGACCTGCATTGATCATGTCCCGACGCATCTTGGAGGCGCCCTTAGTCGACTTGGTGCCGTCAAAACTGTGGAGAAGAGAGGGTGGTTAGGTGAGGTTAGGTTAGGTTAGGTTAGGTTAGGTTAGGTTGAGTTAGGTTAGGTTAGGTTAGGTTAGGTTAGTAGTTTTAAAATTCGTGTTAAAGCTTCTAAAAACGAATAGGTTGGGGGTGAGGTAGAGATATGCTCGCCTCGCAAGTGAGTGGACAGGTTCAATCCCAGAGCAGGGTGAAACTATGGTCAGTTTCTTTTACGCCATTTGCCTCTGTCTACCCAGCAGTAATTGGGAACCTGGATGTTAATCGATTTGTGGATCGTGTTCCGGGGTAATGGTTAGCCAGTGCAGTTGGCGAGTTGTCCGGTCTTCTCGGACTATTCCTTGACACTGGGTCATGCAACTCGTTAACTCAGGGTGTGGTTGTTGTGTTGGCGACAGCTTCTACACCTTAAACACTGGGTCACGCCTCGGTGGCCCTTGGGTCAGCCATCCTTGAACACGAGGGGCGGCCATTATACAGGCAGAGGTGGGAGGGGTGAGGGTGAGGGTGAGGGTGAGGAGGCAGAAGCCGTATCATGTGTTAACACAGTGATCGACCCAAGGAAAACATTTCTGTACCGCCTGTATCATAACACACACACACACACACACACACACACACACACACCACACACATACACACACACACACACACACACACAACACACACACACACAACATTCCAACACCTCACCTGTGTTCCCAGGGACCAAGATGGGACCATGTGCTCTCATCCTAATCAACGACGCTCTATCGGACACTCCTCACAGGTGGAAGTACGTGGATGACTGCACGAGGTTTCAGGACAACACCGCACCAGACTACTCATATCAAACAGCACCCTTGACAGGCTACAGGCATGGACCACGGAGAACAAGGTCACCATCAACCACACCAAAACCGTAGTCATGCACATCATCACTGCCACCACCACTCCAGTGCAAGCCCCAGCAGTCACAGTGGTGCCCATCCCTCCAGCTGGTGCAGTCTGCCAAACTCCTGTGTTACTATAGACAACAAACTGACTGAAGGCCCATGTAAACAACACAGTCAAGGCAGCCTCGTACCGTCTCTACATGCTACGAAGACTTAGGTCACTTGGGACACCCACGCCAGAGCTGAGGACCATCTACAACGCCTTTATTCTCCCCACTAACGTATGCGTCACCAGCCTGGTCGTCTTCTCTCAACTCCACCCAACAACGTCAGCTAGAGAAGGCAGAAAAGGGCCTGCAGAATCATGCTCGGCGCAGATACCCTGGCTACACCAACGCCTCTCCACCTTGAAATGCCATCCCTCAGTGACCTCCACCACCAAGCACTGCAAGGTTTGGCAGTGAACTACTGCACCACCTCGTGGCGCCACCTCCTGCCACCGGCAGTCCCCCGCCCATCTCGCGCAGTCCACTACAACAAAATTCAGCCCATAAGAGCCCGCACCGATAGATATAAGAACAGCACCATCCCATCTATTGTTCAAATAATAAACAAATCCTGATTTATGTACTGTACAGCCCTGTAAATGTATTCAATGCATATTATATCATTATGTCTAAATCACATGTAAATCTGTATATTTTCACCACCGGTCAACCCATTAATAAAACCAACACATTATCACACACACACACACACACACACACACACACCAACACACACACACCCCACACACACACAACCACACCACACAACCAACCACACACACACACACCCACACAACACACACACACACACACACACACACACACACACACCCACACACACACACACACACACACACACACACACACACACACACACACACCCCACACACACACACACACACACACACACACACACACACACACACACACACACACACACACACACACACACACACACACACACACACACACACACACACACACACACACACACACACACACACACCACACACACACACACACACACACACACACACACACACACACACACACACACACACATTCTTCTTATCTACATTTTATTCTCTTTCTTCATTTCTTATTTGTTCGACTTTTTCTTGTGTCCTGTTTTACTTTCTTTCTTTTATTATTATTGATCTTTTTTTCTTGTTTTTATTGTATTCCAGTTTTTATCGTGTCTGGCTCTCTGCTGCGTCATTCTTCCCCCTGGCCGTCTCGGGGGGGGGTAGAGGAAGGAACGTATGCTCTCGTTCGTTCGTTCGTTCGTTCGTCTGTCTGTCTGTCTTGTTCGTCCGTTCGTCTTTTTTTCCCGTCTGTCCGTTTGGCTTCTCCGTTCGTTCATCCATCCGTCTATCCGTCCATCCGTCCGTCCGTCGTCACCTCTGGGACTTGGTATGACAGAACCCAGCGGCAACACCTATAACTATACAGGTGAGGATCGCAGGTGAGTTTTAGTTAATTGATACTCTATTGTCCCTCATTAACCCACCTGCCTATACCTGGTGTCCTGACTGTTGTTGTTGTTGTTGTTTTGTTCTTGTTATTGTTGTTATTGTTCTTGTTATTGTTGTTATTGTTGTAGTCGTTGTTGTTGTTGTTGTTGTTGTTATGTTCCCATCTTTCTTCATCTCTCAGTTATTCTCTATGGGGGTTTTTTCGTCTGTTCTTGCCTCTTCTCTTGTCTTCGTTCTCGCCCCTCCACTGACCCCTTGTCTTCGGCCGTTCCACAAAAAGGAGTAATTTCTTCTTCTTGATTTTTTTTCTTCTTGTTCTTGTTCTTCTGCTTATCTTTCTTCTTCTTGTTCTTGTTCTTCATGTTCTTCTTCTTTATCTTCTTCTTGCTCTTCTTGTTCTCCTCTTTTGTTCTTTTTTGTTGTTCTTTTCTGTATTTACGTTGTGTGTTTTTATTTATTTTTTATTTATTTTAATTTTTTTCGTCTTAAGTTTTAGTCGTTGTCTTAAGCTTTGGTCGTTGTCTTAAGCTTTGGTCGTTGTCTTAAGCTTTGGTCGTTGTCTTGAGCTTTGGTCGTTGTCTTGCTTTGGTCGTTGTCTTAGCTTTGGTCGTTGTCTTGCTTTGGTCGTTGTCTTGAGCTTTTGTCGTTGTCTTGAGCTTTGGTCGTTGTCTTAAGCTTTGGTCGTTGTCTAAGCTTTGGTCGATGTCTTCAGCTTTTGGTCGTTGTCTTGCTTTGGTCGTTGTCTTGAGCTTTGGTCGTTGTTTGAGCTTTGGTCGTTGTCTTAGCTTTGGTCGTTGTCTTAAGCTTTGGTCGTTGTCTTAGCTTTGGTCGTTGTCTAAGCTTTGGTCGTTGTCTTGAGCTTTGGTCGTTGTCTTGAGCTTTGGTCGTTGTCTAAGCTTTGGTCGTTGTCTTGAGCTTTGGTCGTTGTCTTGAGCTTTGGTCGTTGTCTTAAGCTTTGGTCGTTGTCTTAAGCTTTGGTCCCGTGGCTGACAGCGGACCGTTGCTGACGAGGGCAAGAAGTGTGGTCTGTACGAGAGCTGTCAGCCAAGATCTCTCTCTCTCTCTCTCTCTCTCTCTCTCACAGGTAATCACTGGTCATTATCTCAGGTAAAACCCACTAGTTCACCTGTGCTTTGTATATCTCAATGGGACCTATCTGAACACCCTCTCCCTTTTAAGCCCTTCCCTTAACCCCCTTCCCTTAACCCCTTCCCCCCTTCCCTTCCTCCCACTCCTCCCTCCCCCTTCCTATAAGTCCTGGACAATGACACAAGACAGTGGTAACCATCACGCTGCTGTAGGGTCGACAATCCCCTGTACCTGACCACGTAAACACACCCTTAGAGTCATTCCTGTGTCCATATGGCTCTCAACTGAAGAGATCCTGTCGACGACGAAGAGAGAGAAAAGAGAAGAGAGAGAGAGAGCACCTCCCTTCCCTCTCCCTCCCCCCTCCCCCTCCCCCCCTCCCCCTCCCACCACCTCTTGTTCTCACCATTCTTGTTGTTATTGTTTTTGACTTAATGTTTATTCTTGCAAGATTTTTTTTCTTCTACTGTGTGTTGGGGAGGCGGGCGGGCGGGCGGGCAAGGGCGGGGGCGGGGCAGCGTGACGACTGAGCGGCCCCAGACAATGCCCCAGAGTCCAAGAGGTAGCTACTCAAGAGGCTATTGAGGAGGACTTTACACCTTGATGGTAGGGGGTTGGGGTTAAGTCCTGTGTGTCTCTCCCTGCCTCACCTTCCTTCTCTCTATCTCTCTACTTCTTCTACCTTCCCCCTCCTCCCTCCTCCCTTCCTCCCCTTCAACTCCTTAAGTCAAGGTTCTCGCTGGTCATTTTTTTGCCTATTTATTTCTTGTTTTTTATATATTTCTGACTTTTTTTTATTTCGGCTTTTTATTGATATCTTTTTTATTTTGTGTATTTGTAACTTTTTGTTTTGTTTTATTGTTTGTTTTTGTTTCTTTTATTTGTGTATTTTTGTTTTTTTTGTTTGCTCTTGTTTTTCTCGTTGATGTTTTTATTTGTTTTTGTTTTCTTGTTGATATATTTTTGTATTTTTATTTGTTTTTTGTTTTGCTATCTGGTGATTTTTTGTTTTGCTCGTTGTTTATGTTTTTGTCACAGGTGTTTTAGGCGAGAGTTTAGGTTAGGTTCATTAGGTTTATTCTCCTATCTTCAGTAAGTTAGTCAGGCTCTCCTGGTCAGTATTTTGTGTGTGTGTGTGTGTGTTATGATATATATGTAATGATACTTCTACACACACACACACACACACACACACACACACACACACACACACACACACACACACACACATACACACACACACACACACATATATATCAAGAAGCGCTCAACACACTGACCCTCTCGGCTCTCTCTGACCATCACCACGACCTCATCTGCAAATTTGGTGAGAAGCTTCTGCACCATCCTCGACACCGGCCCTACTACCACCGAGATCCCTCTCCCGAGAATTGCTGTTCGACACCACAACCGCATCTAGCCCATAGGAGCACGAACTGATCGCTATAAGAACAGCCCAGTCCCAACCATTGTAAAATTATCAATAACTTGTAATAGACCAGTGTATTCACTCCCAGTAAATACCACTCCTTGCACTGTCACTGTGTTGAAAATGCCCAGTTTGACCTTCTCCCCACCTAGTTATTATATATCATATTTGTATCACTTATGTCACTTGTATATTATTGGTCCATCAAGAGACCCATTCCCAATTATGTAACTGTATATTTTCAGCCTTCCGGCAGCCTATGGTCTTTCAATAAACCGTTAATTATTATTATTATTATTATTATTATTATTATTATACACACGAGAGAGAGAGAGAGAGAGAGACCGACCTGTTATTTTGATATTATCGGCAGTGTCAGAAGGCGCGACTGTCAGGACCAGAGTGTCAGGAGGTGGGCATCAGCACTGGATTTTGTGAGGTTAGGTGAACGTCAGCCCTGGTTTGTCAGGTGGTGAGAATCAGCCCCAAGGTGTCAGGAGGGAATACTCGAGTGGACGCTGACTGCGGCTGACGA